TGGTGGCTGTAGAAAATTGATTAAGAATAATTCCAAAATTTTCTATTTGCTTTTTTATCTTATCATATATATATATATATATATATATATATATATATATATATATATGCACACACATACAAGCCTGTTTTGCTGTATCACAGCTCATCAGTGTAGCTAGACATCCAATTCAAGCCAGGATCTATATTTAGGCAATATATTTTCATTCAAGTATGTTTCGTTAAATAATTTAGACATATTATATCTATTTATTTTAGTTTTAACTATAAGAAGGTGGAGAAAATTTTAAAAAAGACTCATAAACACTAATATATCTCACAATGATCCAATTAAAAAAATAAAATTAATTATATATTATACTAAATTTAATAAAACCAACCTTGTCATCCATAACAACTCTTCTCCGTCAATTAGTGTCTTACCAAAAACCAACATCGTATATCAATTTAAATGTCTTTTGGGAGATTGCATCTAAAAAAAAAATCTTAATATGTATGTTGGTTTTACAAAAACAACAATGGCGAAAAGGGTTAAGTTTCACTTGAATGATCATTGTTCAATTTCAGAACATTTAAAAGAACACAAATGTCTATATTCACAGTTTAGACATATTATTCAAAAATAGATCAAAGCTCCATCAAGATAATAATAAGCAAAAACTTAAAATTCTAGAATCTTTTTATATAAATTCTTAAATGATGTTTGTAGCAGCAAAATGTTATATGAAAAATATTAAATTAAAAATTTTTTAAAAAGAAAAAATCATTTAAAAATTCATTGTGGGTAATCTATTCTAATGGTTATTTTTACAGGAATTGTTTGTTAATTTGTTTATTATTTACATTATTTAATTATTTATTTGGATTAATTTGTTTTACTTGTTTTTTTATTTATTTTATTTATTTTTATTTATTCTTTTCAGTTATCGATTCTTAAGTAACATTGTGAAAATTTGCTTTTATGTTTGCATTTTGAGATGAGTTCTGATCATTTATTTAGTAGTTTGTTTTTAATTATAGCTATTGTTTCCTCCAAGCAGAGCTTGCAGTTTTTAGATTGATTGTTGTAGGATGATGTTCTTTTCCTTATTTTCCATGATATTTTTGGCGTGATTTGCTTTATGTTTTTTTATTTCCTAGATATACTTGGAAAGCGTTGTGCTGTTTGCATATTTACTAGTTGTGGAAGATGTTTCATTTATGTAGTTTCTTATTTTCCAGGGTCCTTAAGTTACTACTATAAATATTTTTCTTTGTTATCTGATGATTTTACCATGGCTTGGTATATTACATTGTTTTGTAAGCAAGTGCCATTTAAGGGACATTTGTTCTTTATTCTGCAGTTACTTGTGGGTTTAATTTGTTCAGGTGGTTTTTTGATAGTTTTTGTGTTGTGCTTTTTATTATTTGTGTCATGTTCTCAGTGCAACTATTGCTGATTTTTACTGTTTTTGTTGAATATTTTGTAGAGAGTGCTTGATTTGGGGAAATGTTTGTAAAGGAGTTTGATGAATATTTTTCTTATGTTTGTTTTTATGTTTTTGGTGTTTGGTGGGTTGAACTATATGATGTTTCTTTTTTTGTCCGCTGTAGTGTTTATGTGAGTGTTGCCAGGAATCCACTATCTTTTAGGGCTGTTTCATCGTCTTTCTTAGCTTTGTTGAATATGGTTTCATTGAAAGAATTATCAGAAATCCTGCGGTAAAATGATTTTGTTATCTGCTTGATTACAGAAAGCGGGTGATGGGAAGATGTGTGTATATATACAATGGTTTATCTTTGGGTTTTCTGTATGGTTTATATGTACCTTTTCTTAAGCTGAAGGTGACATCTAGAAAATCTACTTCATTTAGGGTAATTTTTATGTCTATGCCGAATCCATACTTTTAAAAATCATTATTATTTCTTTTCTAGTTTTCTCTGTGTTTTGTTTGTTATATTTTCTTAAGATTATGAGGCCGTTGTCCCTGTAGAGTCCTGTATCATTTCCCTCTATTTCTGATAAATATGGCATACTTTAAAAGTATATTTCTTCATATATATATATATATATATATATATATATATATATATATATATGCTTATTTAAATAAGGATGAAAGAAAAACTATTTACCAACACATTTCATCATTTGATCTGAGGTAAATGCCAGGATTTTATTTTGCAACATGTATTTATAAGTGGAAGTAAAATCAATGTTAGGTTTTCAAAATGTTGAAATTTAGAAAATGCTCAAAAATATTCTTAAGGCTAACTGTGAATATCAAGGTAAACTATGGACAATGCTAAGGGATGTATTTTAACGCCTAGTAAAAGTAACTGTCGTTATTGTTGTTGAACTTTTTCATTTTCCTTATTTGTTTATATTTATCTATTCATTTGCTTTTTATTTTATTAATGTAATTATTATTTATTAATTATTATTCTATTTTCATTTGATAAAGTATTTTTGTATTTTTAATTTTAAATAATAGGTTTTGATTAACTGGTTTCTGTTTGCTTTTTAAAAAAAATTTTATGATCATGTATGTTGGCCTAGGAAAAAGAGTATATCTTTTAGGAAAAGAGACATTTGAAATATCTGGGACATGTATTTACAGTTTGGTAAGATTCAACAGTGACACTTGCTTTTGGTTGAACTTATTTTTAGATATGACAAATGTATTTGATAAATTGTTATGTATCAAATCTTATTTGTGTCCATAGATATGTTTTTTTTAGATTTCTGAAAGTTTTCTCAATATATTACAAGTAACATTTGTGACTGTTTATTTTATATATACTAATGTATGTGCTTGTGCATTTTAGCAATGAAATATATAAAATCAAAAACCTTGAAATTTATCTTCCTGTCAACTTCTTTGTCATCCAAGGTAAAATGAAATGCTTTAAATAAAAAAAGATTTAAAAAACATTCATTGACCATTCAAACAGGAATAAAAAATTAAATGTTATTGTAGAGTTAAGAGAGAAATCTTCCTGTTGCTATACATTAAGATATTGTGACTTTTATCTATAAGTCATTCTTAATGTCATGTACAGACTGTGACAGATAGATACATATAACAGACCAAGATATATATATAGATGGATATAAAGAGACCAAGATACATAGATAAATATAAGCACATCAAGATAGATAAATAGATATAAATAAACCTAGATAGATAGATAGATAGATAGATAGATATTGAAGAGACTGTGATAGATAGATAGATAGATAGATAGATAGATAGATAGAAACATTAAGCATAATTTTTTTTTTGTTTCCATTGTCTCTAGAACTTTCTCATTCACATGATTGGTTCATTGTATTCTCAGCATCCTTCTGTAGAACAACATTTCTGTTGCCTCAAGTCTTGTCTTCATCTGCGAGGAGAATGTCCAGCATTCACTGCCATATAGGAGGATTGATATTATGTAACAATTCAGTACTCTTCTCTTTGTTTCTAACAATTTATTTTTCTATTTCTTAATGCTTTGCTTAGGTTTTGGAAGGCATCTTTGGCTATCCCAGTGCATTTTTGAATTTAAGAGTCACACTTTCTATTCTCTGTTAAAACTCTTCCCAGATATTTAAATTTTTGTGCTTGTCTGCTTTTGGTATAATTCACATGTTCGGCTGTTCCATTTCTTAACAACCATGCATTCTATCTTCTTGCAATTGATGTGTTATCTGCTTATCTTATGTTGTTAAGATTGCAGCTGCCAATAATGAATTCTGGTAGGACTCCTAATTCTCTCAGAATATAGATTCTAGATTATTCTTCCCAAATATGTTGAGATTACCTAGCTGGTCCAATAGTTCTTTTTGACATACTTTATCTACTACAAGGTGTAAACAAACAATATAAATAAAATGAAAGCAAAACTAGTGAAAAATTAATAATAATAGGAAGGAGTCACCCAAGAAACTCATACAGCTTCAGACTATTATGTCTATGACTACTACAAAATGTGTTAACAAATAATCAATAGAAGAAAAACTTGTAAAAATGATAATACAAACAACAAAAGAAAAATAATTTATGAATTATTTTGTTCAGAATATTTTCATACATTTCTCTCTCTCTTTCTCTCTCTCTTCCAAATTTGTCTTTCTTGCTTTTATTTAAATCTATTTCAGTTACCATGGTGACATAATCTTAAATATAACAAAACTCAACACCCTTCTGTCTCCACATAACCCTTACTTGAATGAATGGAAATAATTTTTCTTTAAAACTTTTTCCATTTTCAAAGCTTAATTTTTTTATAAAGAATCCTGTGCATGCTTTTCAAAAACACTTAGATAGATAGATAGATAGATAGATAGATAGATAGATAGATAATTTTAATTTAATTTTTGAACATTTATTTCTTTTTTATTGAAAAAATAAATATTTCACCCCCTACCAACCATGATGATTCAGGCCCCACAGACCGGTTATGTGACTGGGAGTCATATAGACTAGTCCTATTACTCAATTATTACTCCTAATCAAGTACTCATTACCTGTATAAAAGATACTAGTTCACAGAATCCTTCAATGAATCAGAATCTAATCTCTCCACAATGGGCAAGATGAAAGAATTGTCTAATGACATTCGGGACAAAATTGTATACCTGCACAAGACTGAAATAGGCTACAAGATGACTGGCAAACAGCACAGTGAGAAGGAGTCAACTGTTGGTGCGATACATGGCAAGAGCTTGTTGATGATCTCAAGGTAGCTGGGACTACAGTCACCAAGGTGACCATCAGTAATGCACTATGTCGTAGTGGGCTGAAATCATATAGTGCTCGCAAGGTCCCGCTACTCAAGAAGGCACATGTACAGTCCAGTCAGAAGTTTGTGAATGAGCACCTGAATGATTCAGAGGAGGGTTGGGAGAGAGTACTGTGGTCAGATAAGACTAAAATTGAGCTTTTTTGGCATCAGCTCAACTCGCCATGTGTGGAGGAAAAAAAAAGCTGATTTAGACCCCAAGAACACCATCCTAACCATTAAGTATGGTGGAGGAAACATTATGTTTTTTGATTGTTTCTCTGCTACGGGGACAGGATGATGGCACTGGATTGAGGTGAAGAGGAATGGGGCCAAGTACAGGAAAATCATGAGTGAAAACCTCCTTGTCTCAGCCAGGATGCTGAAGACGAGTCATGAATGGGTGTTCCAGCATGACAATGACCCAAAGCATATGGCTAAGGCAACAAAGGAGTGGCTCAAGAAGAAGCACATTAAGATAACGGAGTGGCGTAGTCAGTCTCAGGATCTTACTCTTTTAGACAAAATGTGGAGGGAGCTGAAGCTTTGAGTTGCCCAACAACAACCTACAAACCTGAAGTATTTGGAGAGGATCTGCAAAGAGGAGTGGGCCAAAATTCCCACCAGGATCTGTAAAACCTTGGTAACCAATTACAGGAAACGTCTGATTGCTGTGCTTGCCAACAAGGGTTTCTTCACCAAATACTAAGTTAAAATTAGCAGGAGATGAAATACATATTTTCCCCACTGTGTATATAATATTAGTGTTTGAGCCATTTTCATTATATATATATATATATATATATATATATATATATAAAAAAGGCTCAAACACTAATATTCCATGGTTATAATTTATTACATTGGAATTGTAATCACAATTCAATTCATCAGACCTACAAATTCAAAAAGAATTTTTAGGCCTTCCTGTTCTTCTTTCTTCTGTTACACACTCTCTCTAGAGCTTTAATACATTTCCCTCTCACACTTGTTTCCCACTGCCACACATACACTCTCACTAAAATTTTATTCTTTTATACCTGGAGCTAAATTTTTTTATTTTTTTTTGAATTTGTATGTCTGATGAATTGGATTGTGATTACGATTCCAATGTAATAAATTATAACCATGGAATATTAGTGTTTCAGCCTTTTTTATTATATTATTACTCTGTCTTTGACATTGAGTTCTACCTGGATTCTATCCTCTTGAGAATTTATTTATATATATATATATATATATATATATTGACCAATAACATTATATATATATATATATATATATATATATATATATATTGAACACGAACATTATATATATATATATATGTATATATATATATATATATATATATATATATATGGTGGATTCTCCCATCAAGTTTGATGTATGAGTTTCCAACGACCACCTACTAATTATCTGCATGCCTATGATGACCATGTTTTTTGAGGCTAGGTTGAGAATTGCACAAAAGACCACAAACAGATCAAGAGAAAGTAAGGTATGAAAGTGCAGCAGAAACACTGTTAGTTATTTTGTTTCGCTTTCATGTTTCATGCAGTCAAATGATGCATACTACTTGATGGTGCTTTATTCCTGCATGCCTATGACGTGCATGACTTTTGAGGCTGGAACACTGTTAGCAGGAGCACTGTTAGCAGGAGCACTGTTAGCTGTTTTATTTTGCTTATATATATATATATATATATATATATATATATATATATATATATATAGATAGTATATATGTACTAGTATATGTACTAATTAATACATATATATATATATATATATATATATATATATATATATATATATATATAGTTGGATTGATGCGAATTTGTAACCCTGGGTTTCACACTCCTTGCAATTGTCAGACAAACTCTATCATCTATCAATCTCTATCAATCCAACTAAATATATTAGCTCTATCACTGGTATTGATTGCTCTCCAGTAAGTACCGTGCATAGATAATATATAAATAATATATATAAAAAATTACACTCTCTCACACACACACACACACACACACACACACACACACACACACACACACACACACACACACACACACACACACACACACACACATATATATACATATATATATATATATAAAAGTGAACATAGAAGTCAACACTTAGAGATGCAATCATCAGTCCTGTTGTATTTTAACTCCTAGTAAATGTAACTGTCATTATTGTTGTTGAACTTTTTCATTTTCCTTATGTGTATAGTGTTGACTTCTATGTTCACTTTTATGCTTACACACACTCTATCCCTGATATTGAGCACTTTATCCCATAAATATATCATATCTTAAGACTATATCTCTTTATATATATATATATATATATATATATATATATATATATATATATATTTGAATAAAAAAGACCACTTTAAGGTTCCATGTAATAAATTATTTCACCACAGCCCTTTTTAAAGGGTTCTGGATCATCAGACTTTACTTCCAAAGGTTAAAATGAAAAACTAAATATATATATTTAAATATATATATATATATATATTTAAATGAATATATATATATAATCTGTAGGTGTTTCACAGGAAATATTTAAAAACTTGGTAAAAATTTTGGAGGTTTGATTGACAAATCATAAATTTGTGTCATATTGTAATCTATGGTTTTGTTAAAGTTATGATTAGAAATAGTTATATATGACTACTTATGATTTTTTGCTAAATAAAATAAAATTATGGCTGTAAAGAACAATATTAATGTTTGGCCTTGGCATTGGTTCTATTTGTATAGAGCAGTATGATGCACATTTGGGCTGTCATTTCTTTTTTTAGCAAAGAAAAGCACCTTGAAATCAAGATCAAAACTAAAATCACTCTCACCTGATTAATTGAACTTAAATAGGGACATAGGATGTGTCCTTGTGACAATATAAATATGTATTATGATGCATGAAGTATTGTGTGTTAGAAAACATGTCAAAAGGACATTTCCCTTTTAGCTTTTCCTCTGGTATGTCTGTTGAACTGACTCCTAAGAGGATGCTTCCCCAATCACTACAATCTTAACCTGTTCAAGTCTAGGCTTAAATGTTATCTTCCCCACGTATTCCCATAAACTGAGCCTCTTACACTGTAAACCTCTACCTTGTGTGGCTCTTAGGCCTTGTACAGGTGAACATCATTGTAAAAAAATTAAGATATAGAGTAAGTTACTCTGTGATCTATATTGTTGTGATAAAAGAGTTAAAATGACCTGTTCCGTTAGTGGGTGTGGTCAAAGAATGTCATGGTGATAAAAAAGGGTACAAGTTAATTAAAACATTAAGATAAATTACCCTGGTTTTTAGATCAGAAAAAACCTAGAGTGCAGTTGAGTACTTAATTTTTTATATTATAAGAAATAATATTGGTTAAATGACTTACATTTGTAAGAAAACTAATCATGTACATTATGGTTGAAACAAAAGAAAATGAATTAATTTAATTTATAGTTTAATTATTTGTAATTTCATTTTGCATATTTTATGCATGACGTAATCAAATTAAAACACTTGCCCCTGAGTATAAAAATAAACTAAAAATGTTAGAAATTTAAAAGAAACAAGATTAGGTTACAATTTTTTTTTTTGCACTGGGTGGATTTATATGAGGACACTAAGTGCAAATTAGTTTGATGTGACTGTGGGATTTGGCTGGACGTTCAATGAAACTGGATACTTGTGCATAAAAGATGATTGTCAACTGTGGAGGGAAAGAGATAAGGAGAGAGTAAGAAAAAAAGATAGGTAGGAGAGAAAGTAGGAAAGAGAGCCATTGCTAGAAAGTGAAAAGAAAGGGATAAAGAGAAAAGAAGAGGAATAAAAGAGGAAGGATGCAGATTTAAGGAAGACAGAAGATCTTGTTAAATAGTGAACAGAAAAGGAAAGAATAAATGAAAGAGAGAATTATGAGAGGAAGGAAAGGGATGGAAACATAATATAAGAGGAAAGAGGGGGAGAGAAAGGAACAAAGAGGAATAAAGGAAAAGAGGAAAGGAAAGATGAAGGAGAGAAGGGAAAAAAGAAGACAAAGATGAGTGTAAAAAGGAGAGAGAAAAAGAAAGGTAAGAGAAGGAGAAAGAGAATGAAATAGAAAAATCATTAGAAACAAAGTGAGGGGAAAAAAAGCAAGAAGTGACACATAAAGAAAGAGAAACATTTGGAAGCAGAAGAGTAAAAATGAATGGCAAATGCAGAAAGAAAAAGAAATGATCAGTAAGGAAAAGTATGTAAGTAAAAGAAAAAAAAGAAGGTAAGAAAAAGAGAGAGAAAGAGAATGGAGATTAAAAGAAAGAAGAAAAAGAAGAGAAACAACGGAATTTAAAGAAAGAGAAATTTGTTTAAGAAAGAAAGCAAAAAGCTAAGAAGATAAAGTGAAAGAGAATAGACATTAGAGGAAAGAAAAAAGAAAGAAGAGACAGTCACAAATACTTGAAAAGGAATATGTGTATATATATATATTTTTTAATCATTTTACTCCAAGCAAGGCAATAAAGCCACTAGGACGCAAGGTGTTACTGAGTGTTAGAGTATATGCAAAAAACTACTAGAGAGGACAATGAAAGAACAAGAATTAAGAAGACAATATATAATGATTGACACTGAATTTAAATTTCTGAAAATCAAATTTGGCTAAAATGCAAGAAGCTTGAAGAGATTTCCACAGGTGAGAAGTGTGATAAAAGAAACTGTTAGCATAGAACTTACAGTTACATCTGGCCATTTCAGCTGTAAAAGAGAAAAGTATGTAAGAAAGGTCAATTAGCATGCTTTTCTTGTGGACTATTATTAAAATTAAATCAGTAACAAGTGAGTACTCCAAACTCATGATCTTAAGCCAGTACAGAACCTTAACATAGTGCAATGGTTAGCAAGCTTATCTTTTAGACAGTTATTAAATTTATTTGTCACAACACAATGTGCAAAATGACCAGAATATTCATAAAGTACTAACCATGAATTGCATAGACAGAATAAACAAGAACCTCTGGACATTTTTAAAAATTCAGAAGAAAATTAAAATTGTGACTCTTCTTCGTAAAACTGTCTTCTTTTCTGTATTTGTCAAAATCAGAACTAATTAACCTCTAGCATGGACCCCTCTTATATGTTGAACTAAAATGGTTGCACTAGTTCCAATCTGTCACCATAAGAAGGCAATGGTTAACAAGAATTTTGTAGCCGTCATGCCAAAAAGGACCCGGTGGAACAGGGCAGTGGTCTCTCATTCAGGGCAGTTGTCTCTTGTTCAGGGCAGTTGTCTCTCGGCGTCCTCATCATCTCCCTCAGCCCCAACTGCCAAAGCCTCCAGACACACTCATTTTATAGACCATGACAAAGCAGCCAATTGGTTGAGTGGGAGAGATTTACTTCTGCATAGGTGCAATCTGCCAATTCTCCCTTCCCCCAACTGTGACACCATATGCATGCAATGTGTGGACGTTTTGGGGCATGATGTCACGTATCTTGCTTATGAAAATCACACTCCTCCCTGATCCGAGGATCACACAAATGGCAGTGTGGTGCGGATAGCTTTATCCTGCTACTTCATCTCAGTGGAGCGGGCTCAGCTATTTCCTCAGTTGTACTTTCCTCTGCCGTATCACTGAGTTGATCGAGTTTAAGGATACCACTTGCACTTTCCGTTGAAGTTGTCTTTCTGCATCTGCCCCACATACACCACAGAGGTTTCTTCATCTGAGGTAGTATCATGGCTGCTGGTAGTCTCCATCCCACGCACCGAGCGAACATCTTTTACATGGTATAGTGCTCCGTCTACAAGGACTGAATGAGGACCATAGACTTTCATCACTTTCCCCTTCTCGAACCTTGTTGTACACTGCCCATGCAGTCTCTTCACCCAAACAACATCTCCTGTTCTGTTCCAGAACCTGTAACGTCAGGCAGTGGTCTGGTATCAATGCCCTTCACACGAGTGAGTTAGGTATAAATTAAGTTGTTTGGCACTATTGAAGCAGTGGTATCATCCTGTGGTGTCACATTATACCAGTATACTGCCTCAATAAGAGAGCATTGTTTTCTTGCAGCGATGCACTTTATTGTGTGGTGGGATGTTTCTACTATCCCATTCCCCAATGGTATGTGGGTGCATCAGTATCATATCCGGATGCCTCATTCCTTTGCAAGTCTTGTGAATCTTTCCCTACAAAACACTGCAGCATTGTCAGCAAGCAGTTCAATCGGTGGTCCTCTTTCGAAAAAGATTGTCTCCAACTGTTGAATAATATTAGTGGAATTTTGGCACTGCAATAGCCTCTAAATGTCAAACTGACTAGGACCACAGTCTATCAGCATTAGGTAGTGCTGGCCCCCGAAATGGGTCACATCCATTCCCACTCAGCTCTAATTGTCATGTACAGAAAGCCTGCCTGGCTTCCAATGCACCAGGGAAGGATCTATGGATTGACATTCCCTAAAATCCCTGACTACCACCTGAACAGCCACTCTGAAAACTCTGGGGATGACCAATTTTGCAAAGTACAGTGTGTGCTTTATACTGGGGTGTCCCCTAGACTGATGAATGGCTCATATATGAGCAGACTCCTCGCCTTCTGCAGCCACAGCGCACGTTCATTCTACAGTTTCCGTCTCTTTCTGAATATCATCCAGCCATCACTGCGGCACTCTAGTGAGCTGATCAGCCTGGTTATTACGAGACTTAACCAATGCCACATCAATCTTCAGCTCATACTCTGAGGCCAGATGCTGAAGCATGCCAAGACAGTGCCTGACCAGCATCTAAGTGGCAGCCTTGCTTAGTATTAGTATCTTGACTTTCCATATAATGTGTCTGAGACCCAGCAATGCATGCATACCGAGTCTGTCTTCAGGTGAATCACCTTTGATTTCCACTGCAGTTCGAGGTTGATGCCCCACAGCAGTGCATCGAGTTCTGCCAAGTTGATGTGCTTATCTTCACTCATTGGTCGCAGCCAACTAGCATCTTCAACCATGGCTCCACTACTCTCAATGACAATACCAGTGGCTAATGAGCTTGCATCCACCCATACAGTGACGTCCTGTCCATCAACGCACCAGTCCCCATGCACTGGATCTGTTTGCTCCACTCTTGCAAAAACGTCCGCCAACATCTGGCTCAGGAGGGGGTCTCATACTTTATCGTTCCATCCATTTGTCACAGCATTTGCTCTACACTTTATGAATGTGGTCACAACACGTAGGCAACTGCACACTGTGAAAGGACCCTCAATTTCTCACACACAGAGAAAATATTCCGACATGTTACTACATTGGGCAACTCCCAGACATGCAACCCTAACACAACCGTAATTTCTCTGGGGCCTTGCATGTAAGCCCAAACCTCTCAAGGTGCTCTTTTACATGGGATGCAGGATATATGTTCTCATTGATGAATAAATCATCAATGTATGAAGATGTAGCTTCATGTATGTTCACATCTTGCACAACCACAGTGTTAACGATGGACCGCATTATCAGGGGTGCCACATTAAGCCCAAGCCCCAAGAGAGTGAGGCAGTATCTTTCCCCTTGATTTCTACTGTCTGGAATGGCCACAATGACTTCTCATCGTGAACTTGTAAATATGTCCGTGCAAGACCAACACGGTGACATCTGAATGTTGTTGCCACAATTCTCTTAATTTGTTTGCACATACATCTGCGCTGGCAGTGTATGCATCTACATGCTCATTGCGCTCGCGGTAGTCCATGATGGACTGAACCTTTTGCTTGTTTTCTTGTAGGAATCAGACCCTGGGCACCAGACCACTTCCATGATGCAATCCATATCCATCTGTTAGCATCAAACTCTGCTTAGAAATCAGGCTCATTGATGGTGATGGCAGTAAAGATTGTCTTGTAACATTGGGGAAATTTTACCTAACCGGTGCTAGTCATGGACATCCCACCCAGCTGTTTGATGGCATCCAGCCTAAGCAACAAGTCCGATTAATTCCCTATCCATGACCACAGCTTCTATGTCAGTCTATGTCTGTCTACAGTCAGGACATGTACCGCCTTTCTCTCTCACGCTATGCACCTCATTCCATCAATCTGTACAGTTTTGGGCCATAAGTGACTGCTGCTTACACTGATAGCATGAGATTGGTCTTCAGGGTTCAGCATTCTAACTTTCCTTGATGTTTCATGCTGCCAAGTGATTGGGCCCGCCGCAAACATAGCATTTTGTCGGTGCATCAACTTCATTTGCCTGACAACACAATGATCATGCAGCTACCGCCACTTGCTCAATATCTGCAGGAATTTTCTTCAGTTTGGTGTGTGCTTGAGCTAGCACTTGTGAAAATGTTCATATCGTCTAACTGGGAAGAGGCTCAGAGCAATTCCTTGATATGCTCCGGTAACCCGGTGATAAACACACACATCAGACTTCTATCTGTCATACCACTGACCAGAACTAAAAGTTTACGCAGTTCAGCCAAAAAGACATCAGCAGTCCCATCCAGGTGCAAGAAGCATGCTACAAATTGCTTCCAAGCTGTAACAGAGTCCAAAAAATATGACATATATAAAGCATTTTTGATGCAAGTAAAGTCTTTCTTCTTTTCTTCGCTCAGCTGCTGGTACAATGCATATGCACCACCTGATAGATGCATAGGAACCACACATTCAATATGCTTTATGCCACTGAGCTGGTATATAAATTCTGCCTTCTCGATAACTGACTGTCCAGCATCACTTCCATCAAATAGCAGTATCAGTTTAGGATCAAAAGCCATAATTGCCGAAATAGCTTGTAGCTGTCACACCGAAAAGGGGCCACTGGAACTGGGCAGTCATCTCTCGTAGTCCTCAGCAGCTTCGTCGTCCCCTGACTCCCAAAGCCTTCAGACACACTCATTTTATAGACCGTGATAAAGCAGCTGATTAGTTGAATGGGTGCAATCCACCAATTCTCGCTTCCTCCAACTGCTCTGCAACACCATACGCATGCAATGAGTGGGTGTTTTCAGGCATGATGTTGTGTATCTTGCTCATGAGAATCACAAATTTCACTACTGTAGTGCATTACATATGAAGTGGAAAGACTATATTGAATCCATTGCTCGGTCAGCTCTTAAGAAAATTGTTTCACTGTGTTGTTGTTGGATTGATTTTGTTTAGTGGCATATCAATATCCCTATGGGTTATTTAATGCAGAAATTTAAATATTTTGAGCATAATTTTATGACTTCAACTACAGATAAGATGTATTGTTCATAATTTTACTATAAAATGTAATTTTTTATATAAACATGTATTTCTGGTAGATTACCATAAAAATCTATTTTTATACATTCATAATGTTTTGTTTTTGTTTGGGGGTTCACTATTTATCCATAGCTGGGGCCCAACAGATGCTACCACCCTGGGTCAGGTTAGACCTGGAAACAACATCAATTAAAAGGTGGTTCCACACTTCTCAAGACCAATAATCTTCCAATCAGCAGCCTTGCTGTCAGATGTAGTTTATATCATACTCTGGCATTGTCATGCGAGAAAATTTTTCTCTCCATGTTACATATCTATAAGTTTACCATTCATCCACAATTAGAATGTTGCTGCTATATATTATTCTGTGCTTCTGCTATGTGCCTAGAGATTCTTAATAAAATCCAAAGAAGAATATGCAATATTATTGGTCCTGATTTTGCATCTAAGTTTCAGTTCCTTTCCCAGCACTGTAAAGTTGCCTCCCTGTGCATTTTCTGGCAAATATTCAGATAAGCTCTTCACTAAGATACCTAGACTTTTTAAATTTAAGTGCAGTACTAGATTGCCAACAAGGTCTCATTGATATACAGTTGAGTTGGCTAGATATAACTGTAAGTTCTATGCTAACAGTTTCTTCTTAATTGTTCTGATGAAATTTCCTCTATTTTACCTAGACTTTATGAAGAGTGCAAGATTGGTGGCAAGGTCTCATCATTTACAATTGAAATGGCTAGATATAACTGTAAGTTTTATGCTAACAGTTTCTGTTCTCACAGTTCTTGCTTGTGGAACTCCCTTCTAATTCCATGCTTTGCAGCCAACTGTAATTTCAAATATTTTAATGCAATGTCAATCTCTATTTAGGAGGCACAATGGATAGCGGCTCAAATTGAGGAATTGGAGAGATGAGTTTGAATTCCATTCAAATCCATTACATTCACTTATGTGCTAATACCCTCGGGAAAGGTATGAATCCTTCTCTTCTTCCCTAACTGTGGGTAAATAGCAGGACA